AAGACAATGAGACTCTACTCTTCTTTTCTCCCTCCCTTCCTCCCTTCTTCACTTCCTACCTCCTTCTCTCCTTCCTGTTTATTCTTCCTTTCCTCTCCTCCTGCTTGGCCTTGAAGAGAGAGGCAGCCTCCGGCTGTAGTTCCCTCTATTTTCATTTCTATGTCCCCTCTACCTGTCAGATCTTTCGCCATCAGTATAATTAATTCTTCATATTCAGACCCCTCTGTTTGAGATAAGGGATGTTTCTCACTTTGTTTGGTTCTGAATCCTAAAGACTCTTCCCTACTTCTTTACGGAATCACAGAAAGAATGGGCAGGCTGCAATGCCACAGTCTGCTAGTTTGGGTAAACTTGTATAAAGGTGAAGAGCAACTTACAAATACACATATAATTCACTTAAATTTAGGCTTGCATGCATTTCTTTAAATTCCATGTTGTTGTTTTTTTAATTTTTATCAACTGTTACTCACATTCTAATCAGTGCATTTTAATATGTAGCTGTCAAAAATAAGCAATGTTAAGCCAAGTTTTCTGTACATTACTCCTCTGCTCAAGCAGATACAAGATTTCTTTTTGGTGTATGAGATCCAGACTCCTGGATCTGGTTCCCATAGCCCTTCCTCTGTCATTTTCCTCTTCCAGTATCTTCCTAACCTTATGATCTGTGCTGTGTTCCAACGCAGACTATCTGTTCCTATCAAACTGTCTTGTTTTCTATTCTTAACATTCAATTTCCTGTTCTCTGCCACCAGTCTTCTCTAGGCCAGGACCACCCTTTCCTGTCTTATCTTTGACATTGAGGATACCTACTGCAGAATAAGAATTCTAACTTGTTAGTCACAAACATCATCACCTACACATATGTAACTCTGACTTTCTCTAAGAGTCCAGTTCAAGCACTGTTTATTGCCTCTTCATTTTAAACTGGCTTGAATAATCTCTTATCTTTGATAAGACAAACTCTAAATATATGGTCCCTACACCAAACATACATTCTTCAGGCTCCCCTTCAAGCCATAGTCTTTGTTTCTACAGCTCATTGAAAGCTTTACTTGGTCCTCTTGCAGGTGTCCAATTAATAATGTCATAGCAGAAGTTCTCATGTCCTGCCATCCTCAGATGCCTCTACTTTTCAAAAATGCCTTTAATTAAAGTTCTCTCAACTAGCTGCCTGAATTAGAAAATTGGTGATTTTTCTCCTCCCTTCAAACCTTACTCTCTTCATTTTACTGTAAATTCTGGATGATCTCACAATCCATCCTTCCGTTCATCTATACTACCTTTAGTCTTTGAGTAAGAGCTGCTGTAGGCCATTTTGTCAACCTCATTTCTTGATTCTTTCATCTAGTTCCTTAATGATCCAGTAACCAAAGTCATTTTATTGAATTTTTAAAAATCAGGACTTTAAGGCTTATCTTGGAGATATTTGCTGTTCTTTTTTTCTTGATACTTCCTGCCACCATTCACCTAACTGGGTTTGCTTTTTACCACATTGTTCTCTTCCATGCAGCTTGCTGCTCAGACCTTTCATTATGCTGCATTGCAAGCTGCAAAGGTCTGGTTCATTTGGTTAGTCATTTATTATCTGTCTTCGTCACCAGAGCCAAAGCTTCATAATCACCTTGAGTGTAGTCGATTGCAAGTGTTGAATAAATAGCATTGCATAAAGGAATGAATGGAGATGGAATGGAATGGCTTTGTCTGCTTCCTAAGTTCTCTGCATTCCACCAACCACTAATCTGAGTATGCCATTGACCTGCTGGAAATACTCTCATCGTTTCCCAATTATTATACTAGTCGTTTTAACACCCAGCCAGTCTTTTCAAGAACTGCAATTGTGTCAGGTGCAGAATGTCAAGTTGAAATTGAAACTGTAGGCATAGACAGAAGAATGAGCTCTTTATCAGCATATCCTTCTCATGGTGCTTAAGAACCTGTTGTTTTAACAAGAAAGTCATGAAAGCACTAGACTATGAACCAGACAGTCTGGGCCCAGGGTGAGTTTGGACCTCATCTGTGCACCAGAATACAATGGGTTAGGTAATTTCACTAGCTCTCAATTTCCCCATCTCTAAAATGAGAATGTAGCAAATAAATTCAAGGCTCTTTTTAGCTCTGTTTTGTAGTTCTCAGGTACTAAAGAATTACTGCAGGATTCATTCTTGAGCATCAGATACCATAATGAGTAGACTGTGATGAAGTACAGCACAGCTCTGATTATTAGTTTTGCTGTGAGCCTGGTGCCCTCATTACAGAGTCATTTCTATTTGAGCTTTAGAAATTGTTGAGGAGAGTGGTGATGTATAGAATCTAAATAGCATCTGGGATTTTTTTTTTTTTTTTGTAGAAGACATTTCAAGACTCATGAAAATAAATAGCTGGGCAGGGTGGTGCATTCCAGTAGTCTTCAGTGCTCAGGAACTGGAGGCAGGAGGAGGAGCAGTAGCTCAAGGTCATCCTCAGCCCGGCTAACAAGAGACAGTTTCTCAAGGAGACAAGAGCAAATAAACAGTAAAGAAATGCTGATTCTGAAAGCGAGGTGAAAGGTGGGCTAGGATGATATTTCTTGCCTACTATGTGCTAGATACATTATGAGTGTTGTACATTATACTAAGATTAGCACCACATTTGCCCCAGAGGGGCAGGTTGGTGGACTGAGATCACATTGTGGGTAAATAGCAGAAAGTCTGGAACATAGTTTGACATAGCTCCAGTCTACTAGGTCTGCCTGAATCCCATTTGCACACAGAAGCATCCAAGGGCCCGGTCTCAGCTCCCTCCACCCTCTGCTGATAGCAGGGACACCAGCCTCCTCTATTACCATGTGGAAGAACATAAATGAGCCACAGATGGAGTTCTTCCAGAAAGTGAGCAGAACAGAACTGAGAATTCTTATGGTACCCTTACCTTAGAGAGCATCCCTGACCATTGTAATTGGCCCCACTCTTAGTAGTTTCCTATTGAGAGGCCAGTGGTGGGAGAACCTGGTTTTACCATGAATTGGGCACAGGCCCAGTGGTCAGCACTCATGGTTCCTAAGAAGTTTCACATATCATATGATGAGGAAACATGTATAATAACAAACTCCCAATACAGCATCATCACAGAACTTTTCTTGCCTTCACTTTAATTTAAAGAGGAATCATTCTATGATTCAACAAGTTCTTTTGAAGAAGGTGAGTTAAGGGGAGATCTTAGTGTCTACAGAGTAGAATTTGGTCTAAAGATGGATGGTTGAGCTGCATGGAATGTAGAGTCCTTCCTTCTATTCATGCTTCCCGGAGAGCTTCAGAAACATCCAGTAATGGTGCACTCAACAGACCAATACTAGGTTAATAAAAGTAAAAAGTGAGATTAAATGAGAAAAAAAAGAAAGAATTTTACTAAAAGAAGTAAAGACCAAAATGCTTAACTCTATCAAACATTTATGGAAGAATTTATATCAATTCTTCTCAAATTATTTCAGATCTTTGAAAAGAACAAAATTCTTCCAAATGCATTCTGTAAAGCTAATATTATTTAGATTTGAAACAATTCCTGATAAATATAAGTCCAGGAATCATCAATAAAATACTGCTAACACACACCCAGCAGCACATTTAAAAAGGTTAATTCATTGCAATCAAGTAGGATTCCTTTTAATGTTACAAGGATGGGTCAGTATTTGGAAATAATAAATGGGATAGAGCACATCAACAGAGGGGACAAAAATATTTCAGTAGACATAGAGAAGCATTTGATACAATTCAGCATTCTCCATGATAAAAACTGAACAATCTAAGTATAGAAAGACTATATTCCAGCAGCAACACAAAGCCTCACAGAGTAAGCCTATAGTGAAAGCATATTAAACGGGGAAGCATGAAAACTCTCTAAGACCTAGAACAACACAAGAATGCTCATCTCAGCCACTTACATCCAGCATTACACTAGAAATCCCACTCGGGGCAACCAGGCAAGTGGAACACACGATGGACACCCAAACTGAGAAACTGAGAAGTGTGCTGGTTAGTTTTTGTCAACTTGACACAGGCTAATGTCACCTGGGAAGAGGGAACCTCAACTGAGAAAATGCCTCCATGAGATTGGCTGCTGTCAAGTGTGTGGCAGCATTTTCTTGATTAATGATTGATCTGGAACACCCAGCCCACTGTGCAAGAGGCTCCCCTGGGGGAGATGAAGCCACTTTGCAATATTCTTCCATAGGCTCGGCTTTAGTTCTTGCCACCAGATTCCATCTTGGCTTCTCTCAGTGACAGGCTATACAGTCAAAGATGATTCAAATCCTTTCCTCCCTAAGTTGTTTTTGGCTTATCACTAGGAAAGTAAGTCAAATTGTCACTGTTTACAGACAACCTGATCTTATATGTAGAAAATCTAAGACACCACCAGAAAACTATTAAAAACATTAAATGAACTTAGCAGTGTCTCAGGGCATAAAGTCATCATACAAACATCAGTATCATTTCTATAAACCAGCAGCAGATATTCTAACAAGTCAAGAGAGCAATTCAATTGAAGATTCCTTACATTTCATTTAGTCAGACAGGTGAAAGTTCTTCACAAGAAAACTACTGTGATAGAGAAAGTGAAGAGGACACACACACAAGCATAAAGGCAACCTGTGTTTTTGTGTTAGAAGAATAAACACTGTCAAGATATCCATAATACCTAGAATACACAAAACAGCAGGCTACCAACATAAAAAAGACAAGTTGAGCAATGCAACAGAACGGGGAGCCTAGAAGTAAAACTCAGTCATGTGCGGCCAACGTAGTTTTGACAACAGTGCTCAGATCAGGCTTTGGCAAAGGATAGTGTCCTCAATAAACAGTGCTGGGAAAGCTAGATGTTCAGGCAGAAAGATAAAACTAAATGTGTATTTCTACCCATATCTTAAAAACCAGTTTTAAATGGTTAATGACTTTGTGCTAAAGAACAATAAAACAACTAGCCCCTGCCCCCCCCCAAAAAAAAAATAGAGAACATGCTGCATGATATTGGAACTGGAAGGATTTACTTGAATAAGACCTCAAAAGCACAGGTATGAAGCCGGGCTGGACATGTGGGATTACATATAATTAGAAAGCTCTGGCACAGTAAGCATTAGAGTGAAGACACTACCTACAAAGTGGTAGAACGTGTTAAAACATTCTCTCTCCAGGAGTTAATATACAGCATTTGTGAGGAACTGGAAAAACAAATCATCAAAGGCTCAAACAACCCCCAGACCCCAGTTAAATGGATGGCAGACAGGGTGTGGTGGTACACACTTGTAAGCCCAGCGCTCAAGGAGGCAGAGGCAGGCAGATTGTTGTCAGTTCGAGGCCAGCCTGGTCTACAAAGCGAGTCCAGGACAGCCAAGGCTACACAGAGAAACCTATCTCAGGAAGAAAAAAGAAAAAAAAAGGTTCTCTCAAGAGAAGATATACAGTTAACATGTTTATGAAAGAAACACAACATTAATGCAAATCTAAAGCTTGCTTCAGGAAAAATGGCTACATTACCAACAAAAGATGCTCAAATTGGTGAAGACATGAGGGAGAGAAAACAGTTCATAATATCACAGGGAATGAAAAACGTTGTAGCCATTTTAGAAAACAGTACGGAGATACCTCAGAAAGGAAAAGTGGAATTTCCACACAATCTTATTGGCACCTACCATCCTACTTGGCAAATACTCAAGGGATCCAAGTCTGTAGCTGGAGAGGAAACTGTGCTCCTATGCATCCTACAGCATTATCCATCATGGTCAAGACAGAGCATCTCTGTGATACCGTGTGAAAATGTGTGCCCATTTTCATTGACAATAGCAGTTCTTCCATGACCTCAAAAATAGGGTTACCTCCAATGCAACAGGTTTTCCATGATAAACACTGACTGCTATAACTGATTCCCTGAAAGCCAAAAAGTACCGTTTGCCCTAGTAGAATAAAAAATTGAGATGGATTACTGGTCAACTATAGATTAGCAATTACTATGGTTTAGTCAGTGTACAGCACCACATGGCACCTGACATTTTCGCCCTACCTTTCACAAGGCGAGGCAGTTTAATAACAGTGGCCAGCATGATTGCCTACTAAACTATTGGAAAACAAATGGGAAAATACCGCACCACAGGCAACGTTAATCCATCCAGCAGGCAAAAGCAAGAAAATGGAACCTGGCTCTAGACTCCTTCAGCGTTACTCAATCAAGGCAAATTATTTATTGTCTTCTGCCTGGGAAGTCCCACAGGGCATGAAATATTGATTTAGGTGTTTGCAGGGCATGGCTGACTGTGTTGCTCTTCTTAATACATGATGAATTGTTTCTACGTGTGTTTTGATGAGGCTGAAAAGCAAATTAAACATGGTTATTTAATAAACATGAAATATAAACACTAAACCCTATTCCCAATTATTAATGTCAGGTCACGGAAGTTCACTGGATGGTGCGCAGGCATTGCTCACATCAGAGTCTAGCTGCAGGCTTCCCATTATCTAACACGGGCATAGACTTTGCTGCATTCCCTGAGACCCGATTCTAATTTTCCTGTGAGTGCGATGGGGGTCAGCCTGAGTGTTCTTCATAGCTGACCTGGGGAATCTCAGAACCAGGCAGGTGGAGGCTCTGGGTACCAGAGGCGGTGGTAGAGTAGTCTGCAGAGAAGTTTGTGACGTGAGGAGGAACGCTGTCATGGTTTTAGTGGGAGACGCGTTTGGTAACAGGCTGAAGGAAAGGGAAGCAGGAAGGATGTAGCATGCGCTTGTTTCGTCAGCTGAGAATCTTTGCTCTGTACCTTTCTGTACATCTATACAATCCTACATACTAGAGTGAGGACCGCTCATCAATGACCGGCATCTGTATTTGTTTGATTTTACTACTTCTCGTGGCAGACTGAGCAGAGGAAAGCCTGGGAGCACACTTCACTGTGAATAGAGGCAATATTAGCAATGGAGTTAATAGCTGCAGACAGTCCCTGAAGACACGCTTTGTCTCAGAAGGGTGCTCAACGGATCTTTTGTTTGGTTTTTCCGACAAGAATGAGTCTGTCTTTGGTTTACTTAAACCAGTCCGCTGAATTTGCAACCAAACTGGACTGTCTGTCTACTGTGCATTTTCTTCACGCTGACTCAGTTTACATGACCCTCTTTGCGGCCGTCGAGCTTGTGTAAGGGGCGTACATGGAACACAACCCGACTATATGGAATGTATAGATGCACTTAAATTGATCAGAACCCCCAAGTCCATTAATTCAGGGCTGTGCGTCATCCACAGCATCTCAAGCAACTCAAACTCTGTTTGAGTTGGCACAGGAGCGACTCTGGTAGAAAACGGAGTTCGCGCTGGGGGTCTTATTGGATGCACCGAATGGCTGTGAAAACTGCCAGGACTCACTACGAATTTAGATAGGAAGACCCATGTTCTTCTCATCTTAACTGGGTCCAGGGCCTGCTTAGTCTCTGAATGCCAATCCGTTTTTGTTTCTTTTGCTGTTGTTGTTTTGAATCTTTTAGTGCTGAGGTTCAAATCCATGGCTGCAGGGAAAAGCTCTCCCACAGAACCACGCCCAGAGTGCCAAGCATCATTCCCCCTGCACAAGGAGGGGAGAAAAGTAGTTATCTTCCAGCTCAAAGGAGCCGTTTCAGGTGAGAGTTAAGGATACAGATATTACCAGAGCCCCCCCCCCCCGCCGCCCCATTTCCCATATCTGTCTTCAGTTGTTCAAGGATATGCACCTGCAGCGTCATGACTCAAGGGTGTTCTTTCCCTCATCAACTGGACAAAGGGAGTCTCACCCTTCAAAAGGAAAAGTGTAAACTTTTACACCCTGTCGTATTTGAACTTTGGGTGTGATCTTTGGTGGAACACTTGGCGTCCGCCTCAGTGTCCTTAAAGTTCCCGCCAGCTTAGCTCTCTTGGGTCTCTAGAGATAGCTGCGAAGCTCTGCTTACCTCTCCATACCCGAGAGCTACCACTCTAGACAATTTCAGAAGGCGTGGCGAGAAGCACCTGCTCCGGAGCTTCCCTTGAACCTCCCTCCAACGTTCACTCCAGGGCAGTTTCCCTGCCAGTTTCCTATCTTATTCCAAGGGCGCTTTATGAGATCCGGTTTCAATCCCCCTGGGGTAGCTCCTAGGATCCCATTACAATCCCCGGGGCTACCCGTACGTGCGAGGGAGGGAGAGGACCAAGTGCAGGCAACAGGCTACCCAAGGTCTAGTTACGGAGGGCAAGCCCCGGGTCCCGGGTGCCGCGCCGTGCGGCCCGGGAGCGCCGCGGCCCCTTTAAGAGCCGGGCCCAGGCTGGCCCGCGGGCCAGGGGAGCGCAGAGCGCCGCGCGCGTCGGAGGAGTTGGGAGCCGGCTCAAAAGTTTCCTCCCAACTCCGGCCCCGCGCGCCGCCGCCGCCGCCCACTCCAGCCCGGGGCCTGGGGCCGGCCCTGCCACGGTCGCCGGGGCCACCGCCAGAGGCAGGGCAGGGCAGGGCCGGGCCTGGCCGCGCCCGCAGTTTCACTTTGGCGCGCGGAGCCACCGCCTGCACCGGGCCGACCCGCTGCGTCCCCACGTCCCCGCGCCCGCTTCCCGCCCTTGGCCTCGGGGAGGGCTGCAGGGGAGAGCAGCCGCGGTCCCCGGCCCCGGAGCCACACGCGAGACAGCGCCGTGTCCACCCTTCCCTCCGACACCCCCTCCCCCCGACTGAGGGGCCGAGCCCCCCCCCCCCCCCCCTCCGGGGGGACCAGGCACCTGCTCGGCCCGCCCGGCCCCGCGCCGGGGAACCCAGGGCCAGGATGAAAGTGACAGTGTGCTTCGGCCGGACGGGCATCGTGGTGCCCTGCAAGGACGGCCAGCTGCGCGTCGCCGAGCTCACCCAGCAGGCGCTGCAGCGGTACCTGAAGACCCGGGACCAGGTAAGGGGCGCGACGGGGCTTCCTTAGCAAGGGCCCTAGGCCACGCACCTGCCCGGCGCCCTGGACTAGGTGGCGCTTTTTATGGGGCTCCGATCACCCAGGCGGCTGGTGAGCGCTGCCTGCAGCTGCTGATTTAAGGGACCAGGGTCGCCCTCCCTTGCCACTCAGAGCCTTGAGAGGAATGGCGGCATCCTGCTCGCTTGAGGGGTCCCCTTCTACCATCCCCCGGCCGGCTAAGGCCTACTTCTTTAAGACAGCCCCAGGTGTTTGAGTGGCAGGGCTCTGGAACCTACAGTTTCGGGGACACTGTGATGGAACCTGTGCCGCTCACCTGAAGTGTGATTTCTGACCCACTAAGTCCCGCCCCAGTGAGGCTCAGTGGAGTTAGAAGCGTTGATTGGCTCTAAAGACACCTCCAAAGTTGTAGCTATTGGTGCTTTTTAAGAGTTCTCACTCTAATGGGAGTTCTCCCAGTAACCTGGGCAGGAGGAGGTGGCGGTGCTGCTGGCGCACACTAGCTAGTGCCCAGGGGTGTCTTGAGCCGAAGGCCACAGTTTCAGTGAGCTAAGGGTGGTGCCAGGTCCTGGGTTACTACCGAAATAAGAAGGATGACGCACACTTCTGCAGCTCAAGTCAAGAACAAGTAAAAGTCCGAAGTTAGCCTACGCAGAGAAAGGACTCTAGCCCTCTTGAGAGACTTGTGTCTGGGTGACACAAGTGGCGTCGGCTTTGGCTTTCTTCGCTGGAACGTCTAAATGAACGCCCTGAAAAACACCTTTAGATTTTTTTTTTCTCCAATTCTTACATTGTTTTGCATGCTTCAACTACGTCTCGGCCAGAGGAGCCACAAACTCTTGTTTTGAGAGACAGTAGTTCTCATATCTCTCCACATAACGTTGTAAACTGTAGTCAACAGGTTGGTCCAATCTCGAGATGGAAAAACTGTAACGTTAGTGTCACACATGTTACGCAAAGCACAGATCGCTTTGCGTTTTGTAAGTGTACGGTTTAGAATTGTAAATTGCATGTTTATTTAGCGTGTGTGCGGAGGGTGCGCATGCATTGCTGTGTGTAGGTGGAGGTTAAGAGGGCGGAGGAAGCTAGGCTGGTTCCCTCCTCCTGCCTTGTGAGTGAGGATCAGGATCGACACAGGCCTTCAAGCCTTGGTGGCCAGAGCTCTTACCGACTGAGCCATCTTGCTTCCACTAAGGATTTAGTGTAGAGATGTAAGGAGTAACTGTAATTTCTATGCTTTTCCTAAGAACTAGTGTACAGTAAGAAAGGCTTTTGATGGGCACTGTATTATTATGTTTGAACAGTCAAGAAATGGAGGTCAGAGGCCAGAGAGATGGCTCAGCCACGGAGAGTACAAACTGTTCATGTAAAGGGCCAGAGTTCGATTCCCAGCACCACATCTGGTGGCTCACAACTACCTGTAAACCCAACTCTACATGGAGCCAGCCCCAAAGCGTCTGCATTCATACGTGTGTTTGTGCATGTATGTCCCCTGACACATACTTTAAAACAAACAAACAAACAAACAAACAAACAAGAAATTGGAAGAGAGCAGAATGAAAAGTCTTAATGAATTACATATACTCCCTAAATCTGTTCTCTTTACAATAGAAGCAGGGGAAATATTTTAAGAGCATGTAAAGCAATGTATGAATGTGAATCTAACCCAGTGAAGATTTTGTTTTGCTTTGCTTTTTGCTATTGCTATCATACAATACTGTTTATAGCACACGATTCAGTTAACAATTGAGATTTGACCAAGGAAATTGTTACCTTTGAAATCATATTTCATTGGTTTATGAAGATCAATTAAGTTAGCAGCAACAATGTAATCGGCAGATATTATTAATGTAGATTTCGTGGAAGAATTGTTTACTGAGATAACAAATTTACATTTTAACTCATTGGCAATAATGGCCTCAAGCCCCATTCATTTAGAAATTTACTGTAAGTTTAGAAATCTATTGTACAAAGGTAAGCTACAGGCATGTAAACAACCATTTAAAAAGTAACCAAAGATCTTTAATGGATTGTAGTTGGAGCTTAAAAGGTGTTACAAAGCGAGTGCTACTCTGAACTGGAAGACTAATTTATGCCACAGAACTCAGTGTAATTGCATTGATCAGGTTACTGTTATTGCCAGGCATTACATTTTTCTGTGTTTGCATTTATATATTAGTGAATGTGACATTTAAAGGTCACCCAAAGCTTATGAAATCTCTCTCTCATTTTTGAGTTTTAAAATTTCAATTTATGTGGAAAATGATGTTTTTCCCCTTCCCTAAATATTTCTTTCCTCTCCTTTCATTTTAAGGGATATTATAAGCATATGTCTTTAAAAAAATGTTTTTTTATAAGCGTTAAGTCTTAAGTAATAATTATTGTTCCTAATGTAACTTGAAATGTCAAGAAATACTCTGCAAAATTTCAGGCTTTTATCCATTGTATTAAAAAAAAATAATGGAGGAAGACCAGAAATGTAAAAATTCCGTTTGTACAATTTGTAAGGAATTCACTTTCTATAAGCCAGGAAGAGAGATATAAGGGACTCGATTTTCTGGGTAGCGTTGCTTAAGCCCTGTGCCCAATAATAAGGACAGCTAACGTGTACTATGTTTGCTCCATGCAGGCACTGTGCTCGTAGCTTTCCATATATTACATGACTCCTCCCCCATAACATAAGGGCTAGACTATCCTGTTTTACCAATTGATATGTATGGTATAGAGATTACGAGTAAGTTGTGGAATTGCTCTGTTTCTTGGTCTTCAGCCTCAGCCATTAACCATATAGCCTCCTAGGTCGCCATGTACTCATCTTTTCCAGTTTGTTTCAAAAGACTTTCTTTGTAGGCTGCTCTAACGACACACCAAGGAAGCACTGTTTGGTTTTCTTTTACAGCGGAGGGGACCCAGGGTTTCATGCATGCTAACCATCACCTAGTAGTCACATTCCTCTTCATTGTATCTTTCATGCTACAAGTGCACAGTTAAAGCAAGATCTTTTACACAGCCAGGTGGAGGGGGATGCAAGGAAAAAGAGACTTGGTGGGTGTCTGAATAATCGAGGTTAGAGAGACGCTTTAAGATAGGACAGAAAATGTAGTTTCTAAGGGCTGGTTGGTGAGTGCAGCCCAAGGATGCCCTTCTAGATTTTGTACCCAGCAGTACAGAAGAGGCACCGTCTGCTGAGAATAAGCAAAGAAAGGCTGGAATCTGTGGCATGTTGGAAACAGCTGAGTCAACATAAGTCCAGAAGTAGGTGAGGTGCTGAAGGAACCGGCGGAGCTTTGGGGGAAGGCTTTAATTATGCTCTCAACATTTGGGACTTTGAGTTTCCTGCTTCCTACTGGATGAATTCCACTTCGAAGGTGAATGGATGGAGGGGCCAGAGTTATGGGATCGCTTATCTTTGGATCCTGGTACTCTATCAGTGTCTCGGGCACTAAATCCAATTTCGGGAAGTAGTTAGTAAAGGTGATTGTCTCCTTAAACAGTCAAGGTGTGGATCCCTGAGTAATTAGCTAAATTCATCATCAAAATTACATGTCACAGGTGAATGGACAGTTGAACTGTAACCTGCAGGGCTGTCAATCCTGGCTGAGTATCAGCTCGGAAATTTACATTTCCCATTTCAAACGGTACAGGCACCTGAATCCCTTTTGCCAAGACTTTGATCAGTTGAGTAGGTGTGGAGTTGAGCACAGGCATTATGAAGAGCACCACACCTGACTCCAGTGCCCAGACTAAACCTACCACTCATCTCTTGGTATTTGTGAACTTAACTTGGTTGTTTACTCCTTCAGTGGCAGACACTGTGCTACAGTTGTCTGCAGGTAACTTTTAATTATGGCAAGGCAACTTGCCTTCCATTTCCACCCAGAATAAATTCTTCTCATAGAAGATGCTCAAGTTATTGATCTGCACGTATGTTTGTTCACATACTTGATGAGTTTCATGAGTTGAAGAGGGAAAGACTGTAAGCAAGAGGGGAAGAGTGGTGTGTTTTGAGGAGCCGGAGAGTTGGCATGGTGGGATCTTTTAAAAGTCGATATATAGATCTCACTGCTTATATGAGCAACCTTGTAAGTCAAGGGAACTTGAGCAGGATTTTCAAATTGAATTTTCTTTTTCTGTATATAGACATCTTGAATAATTTGTTCTCCAAGTTAACATTTTCCCAGAGCTAGAAATAGATAAGATTAACTCCATTCTCTGATTAATTGTGGCATCAGGATCTAAGCAAACTTAGACAATAACAAGATCTGTAGTGACGCTGTGTGACCAGCCTGGAGGAACAGCTAGAATTCTTGAATTTCTTCACTTTTCAGCCTTTGATGCCTTTTTGCTTGAATTGAGCTTATGGTTCTTGATACACAGATTAGTCTCAGCCTGAATTTGCAAAGTACTTTTTAATCTGCTGGGTCTGATTTACTTGTGGTTTTTAACTTCTGTTCAGTTTTCTACTTCTCTAATAGGCCAACTAGGTGTTCTTTCTCATCCTCAGAGAGGCAGACTCGTCATTGGGAACACACGTGTCCTAACTTAGTTTGGGTCCTGCCATTGGGCTTGTAATGGATTGCAAACAGAACTTGGGACTTCTCTGTGACAGGTCTTCTTAGGGTTATATTTTCTTACTGTGTAAGAAGAATTTTGAGTTTTCACGTACAACTCCAGATTTCTGTTTCTTTTAGAGAAAATCAACAACACTGGCTTTGCTTTTCTACATGGCATCCACCAGTTAGCAACCAGACACCCTCGCCCCGTTCTCTTTGGAAGGAGTTACTGATGCTCCCATTTCCATGATCACCTAGCCAATAGTAAGGGTCCGTTGTTATTATAAAGCTTAAGTATTTCTGTTTTTATTTTGGTTTATTTAAACATCGTGCTGTATTTTAACTTATTACATATCCACGCGTGTACATGTATGCTTGTGTATGTGCATGGGTGTACACATACCATGGCAGATGTATGTGTGGAAGTCAGAAGACAGCATTCAGGGATTGGTTCTCTTTTTCCATTGTGTAGGTAGGTCCCAGGTATTGAGTTGGCATTAGTGGCAAGCACCAATATTTTGTGAGGCATCTCCCTGTCCCAGTTTTTATTTTCTTATGGGTCACTTAATATGTTGCCGCCATTTGCCTGAGCCACTAGCAGGCACGTGGGTTTTACTCATGGGCCTTCGCTTCCTTAGTCCTCTTTCTTCCCCGTCTTCCTCTATCCCCTAAATATATTTTTCTGTCTCTTCCTCTCTCCCAACACATGTACACACACACACACACA